GAAGCCCTGATTTTTTCAGGCTTCTTCTTTCCAATTGCTTAAATTGGAAAATTAACTGTGATGATCATTCTTCACTTTCACTTTTAAGCTATGTTCACATGTTTTTTGTTCGATGTCAATCAAAAAATTTGCATGACATTGCAATGTACCAAAAGCAGCATTTATTTTGTTTAACTGCAAGTGTTTGCAAAAAGTTGATTATGTTGTAAAAAAGGAATACAACCTTGTTAAAAAAAATATTATATGTACGTGCTTTGTGTCCGATGTGGATCAAAAAATTTGCATAACATTACAATGTAACAAAACCAGCGTCTATTTTGTTTAACTGCAAGTCTTGGCAAAATTTTAATTATGTTGTCAAAAAAGGGAATGCACCCTTATAAAACCCTTATGAAATAAATTTGAAGCATCCGTAACAACGAAAAAGGTTTACAATCACCTATTTTTGTTCTTTATGAAGGTAACTGGTCAAGTTCCATATTCATTTCACGAATGCGACTGTACGAAAAGGTAGCGAAAATCTACTTCTCTCGACGGAATGCTTTTTCCGTACCGCAAAATAGATTTTCACACAACAGAATATAGAGTGCTGGCTTTCAGAAAATGTTAGTTGCGACTTCAAACTCGATGTAACAGTGCGCTTTTGATGATATTGAAATGAACTAAAATTGGCCTTGTTACTCACGAGCTCCGATTGAGGTAATTGAATCGAAAAATATTATAACACTTGCAGCTTTTCATAATCAAATTGATGATTTAGAAAAAGGAAGACTACCCAAAATATAAATAAAATCGCGTTGATCTGTAAGAGCAAAAAGAAAACGCACAATTTACCGCCATTTTTGGCGAATTAGAAGAAAGAAATGGGAATGGATCAGCCATACTCTAAGAAAGCAAAAGGAAATTGCCACCTGCAGTCAAGCCCTCTTCTGGAACCCGTCAGAGAAAAGAAAGCGAGGAAGGAAAAAAAAACCAACAACAACAACAACTGGAGAAGGTCAACCGACAAGAACCAACAACTGGAGAAGGTTAACCGAACAAGAACAACGACAGGCAAGAGTAGTGGAGTTCATAAATTACAACTACGTGCCTAAGAACGTAACGAGTGAAGGAACATTGTAGATGCCCTGTGCTCCAAACACATATAAACAGGCTCGATTTCCGCCGCTCTCTCGTGTCTGGTCTGCGCCCCTGCGTTTCATTTTGACAAACTCTTCACTTACGTAGGGAATTTGAAAAAACGAACAAAAAATGGCAAGAGCCATTCTTCTTGGTTGGCCCGGTTTGATCGGAAAATGTCGGTCTATTTTCCTCGGGTAGCCTTACTGGTCTCTGACTGGTCGGTCTGGCATAATGGAAAGTACCCAGCGTCTTTTAAATCAATTATTGTCGTGAAGAACAACCATGGCCTCGACACGGGAAGTGAATGGGAAACCCACTTGGCCTTGTCACAGGAAGTAAATAGGAAACTCACCAAAGCCTTGACTACAGGAAGTGAATAGAAAACCAGTGGAAAACAAAACAAAACAAAACAAAACAAAAAAAAACCACACACACACACACACACACACACACACACAAAACTAAATTAAACCGATCTGGGCGTGGTCCCTTCTTGGCAAATTGGTCACTGAAAATCTCCAGGAGTATATCACATAAATATCTCATAACTACTGCTGAGAGCATGTAGCGTCTGTAAAGTGTGACAAGAGCTTGTTACAAAATTGAATGTTAGCTCCACAAATTTACTCGTAACAAAAGATTGTTTGTAAAACTGAAACCGACGTGTTAATTTAGAAAGTGGTTTTTGTGGACATTGAATCTGAAACGTAGGTGCTAAATGAGTCATGTTGACGTCTGCGTGACGGCGGCGGAGGCTTAAGTCAACTGCGACGTTTCTACGTCGTGAACAAGTGTTGTTTTCAATAGCACAGTGACAGCGGCACGGTACACGGTAATAATAAAGCAGCTGAAAATGTTAATAACCAAAATATTTACACTGACAGAATGATTTCTTGCTGACCAGACGTTTGCTGTTTCTTTGAATTCGACTGGTTAAATTTTCTTTCATAATATAAGGCTATGTAATTAATCGATTATTGCCTAACCGTGCTTGTCTGAACCTTGTCAAAGTCCGTGATCGGTCTCCGAGCGTAGGGAAACATCTGAAGACAAATGTCAACTTGTAAATATTACCTCATGACAACGCGGAGAGGAGAAAAAATAAAATCGATTATTAAAGAGAAGCAGCATGTGACTATTCTGCGTTGTTTTACCAATAATGATGGACTTCACCAATTCTGTTGTTTAGTCTACTGACACAGTTCTATCTTTTGCTGGATAAGAAAAAAGGTACGTGTACCAGGCACGCATATGTTGGCTGGACCTATCTATATTTTAATCTTATCACACAGATGTAGTTAACGGACAAAATATTGAAGCATGCATGAAAAAATTATCACAGCCCCCCGGGCTAGATCTGTCTTTACAACCTTGTGCAGTTTATCTTTTCTGGCTGCGTTTTGAAGCTGCGTTTGTAATTCCGGTCGGTAAATGCTATTGCAATTACGTGCTATTAAGACGGATACAAAGGGAATAAATATTGTCTTCAGATAATTAAAAGTTAGCCCCAGAAGATTGGATAGAAACCTTAGGAAATTTTGCACGAATATTAGTCTTCATATGCATCTATTATTATCGTGCACCTGTTGTTTCGACGGCGATACATGCAGGTTTTGAAGAAAGTTGTCAGTTCATTGTGACTGAAGAAAATGGAATACTTGAAGTTTGAGGCGGGGTTTACTATAACTACAGCACCATATACAGTGTAAGACCTTGTTTTTTGTCAGATGAGAAACATTTATGCATTTATTAAAGACGACGAACTTCAACTTGAAATGTCTTGCTCATCAATTGAATCCTACCAGAAGGCCCCCTTTAGCTTGAAAATAGAACACTTCATTCAACAAAAGAAGGCGCCTTAGGCAGAGGGTATTTAATCTTTTTCGCGCGCTGGTAATTGACCCAAAATAACAATGTTTCCCAAAAGTTCATGTTTTGATAAGCATGAATAATTTTGAAGTTCTCACAGGTTTTGTTTTCAAACACCAAAGTACATGTGTCTTTCTTAACTGATTTTACTTTTAAAATGCGTGATGACTCTCGCCTAACTACTTGTTTTTGTGGCTTCATTGTTATAATCTGTTATGGCAATGTGGCATTTAGAGGCTTGAAGATCTTGAACGGGTGCGAATACTCTCCCCGAAATGCACTGGCAGAATCAAGCTATATTGACGAGCCTTCGCCACATAGTTATGTATACGAAATAACATTATACGAAATAAAATTATATGAAATAACATTATACGAAATAACATTATACAAAATAACATGATTTGAAAATCAAAGTAAGAAAGGGTGTGAAAGTGATAATTAATACATTCCCAAAGGAATGAACATTGTAAACAATAGAAACCGCTCTCTTCGAGGCCCTTTCTGACCTGCGTATTTTTACATCAATTTTACAATATTTAATACTGATACATTTGAATTTGTTTTGGTTTCAGCCTCACCACACGTCACTTAACATGTCTGTCGAAGCTGCCGTAACAACGGTACACTGTATACTCATCATTACAAATATTATTGGAAACACTCTTGTTTGTGTCATCATAATGAAAAATAGAGAAGTGAGGTAGGTTTATATTGAAATACTTAATTATTCACTCCCAGATTATCTCCAGAAGCGATATAATTTAATATAATATCAGATTAGAAAGTAGCTTTCGAAGAGTTGATTCCTTCACTGATCTGCTCTTTGCGTTTATACCGCTGATCTCTGGGATTTGTGCGTTACACAATATTCGTAAATTCGTAATATTGTTTGCGTTCCAGTGACACAGTGTTAGGTTTTCTTGCCTTACGTTGCGTTAGAGAGCTATGCGACACAACGTTTTCTAATGTAAGCAATGCTTATTACTTTCTTTATCTCCTCATGCTAATGTGGTAGCAATACAGCTTGAATCCGTTTTTGCCAGTTCATTCTTAAGACTGTAGAATTGATTAGTAGCTCGTGATCGTTCGTGAATTCAAATTCTGGTATCTTCGTATTATCATAACAATAAAGACACCAAACTAGGTCGATTTAAGCGACAGTCAGCTCTCATTTAATATAGCTGAAAACAAGGACCCAAGTATTTTTGGAATAGTGGAAAGTGTTCTTCACTTTCTTGTACATAATTGCAGAATGATCTTTTTTTTTTCTTTATCTGGTATATTTTTTAACAAACTTAGCCGAATAGACTTTTTCCATATATCAAAATTCTAACTGGTTGGCTACGGGGCCTGGGGGAACAAAACAAAGGGAAGAAATTATTCATCCCTCAACTTCGATGCCATTTCTTTTGGTATACCCCCGAGCCTTGGAGCGTAGTTAAAATTTTAATATAATGGTTTATTGGAAGATGACAAAACTCCACTCGATACGTCAGAGAGCAATGAGAAGACAACTGAAGTCTTTGACCTAGCTTTTAACGGTCATGCGCAATGGACGTGCACAACGGGAACCTAAATCAGATGTTATTCGTGTCAGGAGACTAGTCCATTCACTTTGTAACTGTAGTCAAATAGACCTCTTTAGCTTGTGCGGGTGTTTTCCCATTGTAGACCACGTGATATTCTCCAGAGAATTTTTCTTTTATCTTTCTTAAAATTATTCATTCATGCACATGCGACTATTTAAAAATTTGAAAGCAAGAATTCTCAAGAGTATCATCATGTGGTCTACAATGGGAAAACAAACCGCCCAAGCTAAAGAGGTCTATTAATATCCTGATCAATCTATAATTTCGTTTACACCCTGATATACCATAGATAACATTAACATATTGAGGATGAAAAGGTTTGCATATAGAGTTTAGAACAGAGACTTTGTGCTTTTATGTAATAACGTTCTCACAAAATAAAGATCCCGAAACAACGTCTGGTGTTGCCCCATATCAGTACGTTGTATCTTCAGGATACCTAAGATAGTTAACTGCTGTTTTTGTGTGTGTGTAGGATTTCCATGAATTATCTCCTGGTGAATCTAACTGTGGCAGACATAACTTTCGGGATATTTCTTACACCAAGGTTTATTCTAAACCGTACTTTCACTCACCCAGAAGGGGCGGCTGGTAAAGCTTTATGCAGATTGCTGACAGGTGGAACACTAGGCTGGTTTGGAGGAGTTTCGTCGGCGTTTACCCTGGTAGTTATTGCTGTTGAACGCTTCTACGCTGTAATGTATCCTCTTGGTAACAAAGGAAATCTTACCAAGCGTAAACTCAAGGTGAGTATTGACGCATTAATCATGCACTTTCTTTCATCGTATCTTGGAAGAAACAAAATGTTTTATCTTCCGTTATGTTTGGATTACTGCTTGGTTATCGTCTATGCTGTTAGCAAACAGAAGAACTAGTAAACTGGCTGGCCAAACTGTGTGGATTTGTTTTCCATTTGTGAAAATGAAACCTCAAGGGACTGGCTGGTGATCGCTTCCATTTTACACATTACGATTTCAGGTGATCATACCTGGTTCTTGGATCCTTTCACTTGTCTTCACCTTACCCTTATTCCTGATTACGATTTATGACAAGAATATCGAAAGCTGTGTGGAGAATTTTCGTCGTAAGTGGATGGCCAAGGCTTATAGCTTGACTTGGCTTTTAGCCACAACTGCTCTTCCTTTGGTACTGATGGTTGGCTTGTACTCAACGGTTGTGTACGCTTTGTGGTGCAAAAATGATGAAGACGATGAAATTACCCACCAACAAAAGGTATGAGTTAATGAATAATTTCCCTTTAAAAGTACCGGATGTATTCTGTCACTGGTTGAAATTGCCAGAATCCTTATCGGCCCTTATCAATCCTGGGCAGTTAATATTGGATGGAATGTGAAAGGATGCGGTAAAAGGAAGCGGTGTTTTGTCGCTTATCGATCTATAAGTTGTTTATTTAATCAAAATATGAATCTCTATGCACAGGGTGTTATGAAGGTGCGGAAGAGAGTCACTCTGATGGTCATAACTGTCAGCTCAATCTTTGGAATCTCTTGGGGCACAAGTTCAATTACCTACGTCTTAAAACATTTCACCACCCGAAACACTGGACACGTCGCCATTTCCACCACAATGGCTCTGCTCAATTCAGCCGTAAATCCGTTTCTTTATGCTCTGTTTAACCAACCATTCCGTGGTAAAGTCAAGAGAATGTTGTGCAGTACCTTTCGTTCTGCAAACAGGATTCAAGTTGCAAGGGAAACTGAGAGTATTGAGGTCCCTAACAGAATTAATCATACAGCCATGCAACCTAACGAGGCCTGAAGGAGAAAGATGGCCGGGAACTAGGTCTTTAAAAAAGATCTCGACCTACAATCACTGCCACATTGTTGGTACAATGACGTTTTGATCCGCGATCGCTCCCTCTCAAATCTCTCAATGTTGTGAAGAAACTAAAACCACAGAGCACGGGGTTCAGGTGAATTGAGCATTCCAACATTACTTGGGGGAAAAGAGGGTCGTATTCCAACTGCTGCTGACACTGATTGTTTTAACAGCATATATTTACAGTTTTGATGACATAAAAAATAGTCTAGACCCTCTAGAATCCCCCTCAGGATCAGTATCAGTGCATTAACCGTATCCAATTCCTCATGATAAGTAGAAGAGAAACTGTTTGAGCCAGGAAAGCCTTAGAAAAAATAACAGAAAGATCGAAATAACTTACAAGTCAGGCTTTCGAAACACGTCTCTGAAATGAAAGAAAAACTGGGTGTCCCGAGCAGGACTCGAACCCGCATCTCCCCGAATACTAGTCGGGCGTGATATCCACTACACTATCGGGGCAATCACGCTGGATATGTGGCAGCTTAGTGATGTGAGTAGATAGAAAGCGGCCAATCCAAGGGACATTTTTCTTTCAAGAAATTTGTGTGTTTCATGGCTCTTCTCCTGACAATCGGGGCTATGTAACAAGTAGAAGAGGAACTATTTGAACCAGGAAAGCCTTAGAAACAATAATAGAAAGATGTTAATAACTTTCAAGTCAGGCTTTCGACACTCGTCTCTGCAGAAATGAGAGAAAAACTTCGTGTCCCGGGAGAGGAAGTTTTTTCTTTCATTTGAGAGACGTGTGTCAAAAGCCAGACTTGTAAGGTATCAATTTTCATCTTTCTGTTATAGTTCCTCAATATTTGTCATATTTGGAATAGATATTTGGTTTGAGTGGTAACGGGGTAAAATTTTTAACGATTATACAGGTTGTGATTTCAAAAGGTGGCCTTTGGCCATATTAACGGGGTTTCCTTGTAAGGAATATATGGGCGTTTCGCTGTGACAAAAAGAGTGGCCGTAATAACAAAGTGACCGTGTAAGGAAGTGACCTCAGGCGGGGTTCTGCCGTACCTGTAATGATAGGGACTTTAAGATACGCTACGGCGAGGTGCTGCTACGGCTACTTTGGCCGTGAGGGACTAGGTTGACAACGATGTTTTACCCGCCAAGCTCAAATGATTAAGATTTTGCTGTACAGCAACGGTATGTGCAGTCTCTACGTGTCTTTGCAAAGAATGACTACTTGCAAGGAAACCAGAGATTATTCTACTTCCATACGAAATAGGTTTGATTAATTACAATGATTTCCTTCTCCTGTATCCGTCTTACATATCCCAGAACTCAGATTTGCCTTTTAGAACTTAATAGAACCGCCTGTAATTCCAACCAC